TATATATATATTTATCATATTATATATTACTTAATGAATTATAATTATAAAAACTCACAATTACTTAATTTTAAAAGTATGTTGATAAAATTGGGGCAATTACATATCGCACCCGAAACATTGCTATTTGCAAATCTATCACCCTCTTTCATCCATTTTTCAAATCCTCCCTCAAATACCAAAATTCATGGTAAAACTCCAAGCCATATTTTTCATTTTTATCAAATTCTCAGTGGTTTGACCGTGTCACGCATAAATACATCAGTGAATATGACCTCGGTGCTAGATTTTGTAAATAGCATGTTTTGGGTGCTATGTATGTAATTATCCCTAAATTTAAATAACATACATAAAATTAATCCATCTAGGAACAATTTACCATAGCCAATTTGCACATACATACCATGATTTTACAGTATTTAAAATTTTCTTTCATAATAAACCAATAGTCTTAATTAAAATTTAACAAACCCCAGTTCTAAAAAACCAACATATATCATAACCAAAAGTGTGGGGCTTAGGGATCATTGAACCGCAATAAAAAGGGCAACAGGAATGGCCACAGCTGCATTCTCATGCTTCTATCTGCTTCCCTTTCAACTTGTAACTTGAATAATTGATGTGTACCACATAATGGTAGTTAATAAGATGTATTTATTAGTGGCCATTCTATTCAACTTAATGCTCCCACCACTAAATTCTATTTGCCTTTTTGAAGTGCAAATTGCCAAAAGCATTTTTCCATCAAGAATATGATATTTACATGCATATCACATAATTCTTATGTATTTACATATTGGTGTCATGAACTTATACTATGCATGTAAATATGTATTTCACTCTTGAGAAAATAGTGAGAATATTTTGATGGGATGTTAAATATTTGAGTGGCATATATATATATATATACATAAATATGAATGTTTGGATGTTAGATGTATAAATACATATTATTTATAATATGAAGTAGTTATGTAATAATATATCAACCATGACATAGTTATGTAATAATTTATTTATTACCCTACATTTAAATTCATATAAATTAGCCTATCTATAATTTATAAAGAAATTATTAGTTATGAATAGTAGTATATTAGTAAATATGTAAAAGTTAGTCTAATTGGTCTACAGAAATTCATATAAATTAGCCTATCTATAATTTATAAAAAAAATTATTAGTTATGAAAAGTACTAGATTAGTAAATATGTAAAAGTTAGTCTAATTAGTCTACAAACTAATTTAACTTAATGCATATAAAATATAGTAAGCGGCGATGGAGATGACAATAAACAGTTGGTGATGAGAACGGTTGACAACCCGAGGCAAGCAGCATGCAAGGATTTGTTATAGTGGAGGTAGTGGCTATTGATGATAGTCAGGGCCAACGGGCAGCAGACAATAGTCAGCACTTTAGGCAAGCTCGATATTTAGAATTCATCCCATTCTAATAAAATGCAAATGCATTGAAAAATAAGCTAGATAAAGAATTTCAAATGCATAAAGTTGTATAGTACGTTTATTTTTTTGCTGATCAATTATCAAAATTTTCAAAACCCTTGCATTACTTTTATTGCTTTGTCAAAATAAAATCAATAAAATATCCCCTAAGTAGATAAGTAAATCCCATGTTTGAGTAAATAAACTCTCTCTCATAAAGAGTACAAGTGTCATATCTGATAAGCATTAAATTTTACATTTGAGGAAATATCTAATAAAAAAGATTGTATTGCCCTTATGTACATGTGTTAGTTGTAAATTCATAATTATAGAAATAACTCAAATCGAATTTACTCGCAACCTAATTCAAAGAACAACAAATCGAAGCATATTTTCTCATCATAAACCAAAAGCAATGAGGCTACTTGGCAAAAAAATGAAAAACAGAAGTTTCTTGTACTAAACTCTAAGACCAGAGGGTACTCAACAACCCAAAGGGCACAAATTACTCAGCATAAACCCGTATAGCATGAGCTTCACAGTCTAAACCGAAATAAAATAAGACATTTAGCAAAAGCCCCATAAAATTGCATAATAGAGGAGGGAGAGAGGGAGGAGCTGAGCCTTAAGCGTTTGAATCAGAACGAGAAAGAGATCGAAAACAAGAATAAGAAACAGAAGGACAACGAGAAGAGAAATATCTTATAAGTTTGTTTTTTGATGCCTTATGGAGACACACATCCAAATGAAAAAGATCAATCGAAGCAACGAAGCAAGAGTTCCGAAATGTGAGGGGGTAACACTGGGAGAGTCAAAGAAAAGACATTGAAACGTGAGGGCACATAAAGATCTCCGTCCCGCAAACGCTTATTTCTGTGTTGGTGGTTTCATGAACAACGTCACGAACCCCACCACAAACAACACAACTCACGGTGTGAAAACGTAACGCTCCTAAGACACTGCTCCAAACACACCCTAAATCTTACTGCTTAAATCATAATCAAATTTTATTCAAATATGATTTAAATCATAATCGAAATGTGTTAAACCATACTCGAACTTTGCTCGAATACTATCTAAAACTTTTATACATTATTAAAATCTTATTCAAACCATTTCAAATCATGTTTAAAATAAGAATAGTGTTCGAAAGTTAGAATAGTGTTTGAACAAGGTTTGAATAAGAATCATTTAAGATCTATAATTTACACTTTATATAGTCGTATTCGCATGAAGGATATCATCAGCGAAAAGTCATATAATTTTGGGTTGTATATGTAAATACGTAAGTTTTTCAGGGTATGCACATAAATGCCCGCCAGCCGCCTTCCATGCATTTCTGTTGTATCCTGCCATTCATTTAATTCCACATCATCTATAGACGAAAAAATACATAACTTTTGTTCTTTAAATTATGAATCTCAATATTTTTTTGATGGAGTTCCCGCCTCTCCCCCTCCATTGCTACTATTGGGCAATCAAAATTGTTCGTTGTTCACGAACAATTTGTGTTAGCTCATTAAGAAGTTTGATTTCTATTTGTTCGCTAAGTTAATAAGCCGAACATGAATAATTTTTATGCACTCGATATATAAACAAGCAGAACACGAACCAAAATTTGTTCGTTTGTGTATATATATATATATATATTTTGATGTATTTTAAAAAAAATTAATTGAATAGCAAGGCTACAAAGTTTTATAAAAAACTAAAATTACTAATTAAAAAAATAAAATAAAAATACATTAAATTATATTTAAATGATATTTTAATATAAATAGTAAGATTTAAATATAACCCAAACCGTTATCATCTTATGACTGTGTGATTAGGGTTATCAAAACGACTCTTTGTTTTTGAATAGTTCGTGTTCGACACGCTAAATAAATGCATCGAACACAGACACGATTATCATTTTCGTAATATAAACGAACTAAATACAAATAGTGATATTTTTTTAATGAGTAGGACATGAGCTAAGCTTGGCCTCTAGATACCATGAAAGAATTTTAAAATAAAATAAAATAAAACTAGAATTTACTTATATTAGTTAGTTTAATACATTTATTAAAATATTATTTCGAGTTAAATATTAATATAATTCAAACACATAAATTTGAATCTAGTAAAAAAAATCACAACTCGCTACCGACCTTTTCGTTTCGTGCGAGGCCGACTTCCTCTCGTTCTCAGCTGCGTCATTTCCATCTCATCCTGATCGATTTGTGTTATTCGATCGCGATTTCACGATCACGTCTTTTCTTTCCCTTCCAGGTTCCTCCTGGAAATCTCTGATTGTGCTTGGGGAAGTTCGGATTTCTAAGATCTGATTCAACAGGAAAGAGATGGTTTTATACTTCAAGGCCCGGCCGGAGGTTGGGGATTACACGATCTACATGGGGCTGGACAAACACGAGAACGAGGAGCTGATCAAATACGGATTTCCGGAGGACATATGGTAATCTTTTAGCTGATTCCATCTACCCTCGAACTATTGCTTTTTCTTAGGTTATTATCGATTTCTGGTGCTGGAAAACTTTTGTCCTCTTTAAATGGGTGTCTGCACGAATGATGAAAAATTTGGTGTGCTTAGATGGCTGTCTGCAAGATCAATTTAGATTGAAGCCCTGTTTGCTTGAGTTTAGTTCTCCGTGTATATGGAGGATGTTCATTTTTATATGAAGCAGCCATTTGCCATTCTTTTGTAATTCAGTACCCAAGGTTGCTTTATGTGTTTTGCTTCAAGTTTAGCATCCAAAATAATAATAATAATAATAATAATAATAATAATAAAAAGGAAAACAAAGGCTATTCCTTGTTAGGTGATGCTATAAGTTTAGAATCACCTCCTTAAAGGTTCACGTGAAGTACATCCTATGGAGAAATATAGCTGCACATGTTGAATGTTGTAGAGCAAGGTATGACATACTTGTGGTAAAACTAAGAAGGGTAAAATAAGAGTTTGGGTATATTAAAGGAAATGTCATACTTATCTCATGGATTTAATTTTCAAATATAATTTAGATTTGAATTGAGTTTATGATATGGGTTTGAATTGTTTTGATCTCAGCATTTTTTTGAGGAATTTTAGCTTATTTTTGTTTAATGCCTATAAATCAATTTTTTACTTGCTTTCATTGAATGTTTTAGAATTCAGGACAGTGGGCCAAATGGGAATAAGTTTAATTTTACTAATCCAATTCACAAGGAGACATGTTCATTTGAAGATTTTTTTTTTCCTTTGGATTTTCATTCCTTTTCTTCCCTTGTATATCTATTTTGACAGTTTGATATCAGTGAAATATGAGAAACCTTGTTGAATGACACCTCAGGATGCGTGTTTTCAAATATTATCTTGAAAGCTCGATTTCAAATGTTTCTCTTTTATTCTCTCAGTCTGAGTTGATGTTCAGTTCATCCATTGGGTGAGATAAAATCCAAAATGATCCCCAAGATGATTTCATGTGATTCAGCTTTGAGGTCCATGCTTAGTTATGAGTTCTATTGCCTGCCTTTGATGGCTATTCTAGCCATTGGGTTAAAGCACTGCAAATATTTGTTAGTTAAATTATTTTCGGTTTGTTTCTATCCTTTTATTTTTTTCTTTTGTTGCAGTTTGATGAGGATCCTACTTCAACTTTGTTTGAATTAATTCGGTCTTGGTCATTCGTAGGATCATGAGCTGACCTTATCGACATTAGCTGATTTTGCTTCTTTAGGTTTGGGAACAATATTTTTTAATCAAATTTGTGCCATATTTTGAACTAATAATCAAATTTTTTGATTGCATCATGTAGTAACCGCTCCTGATTCAGCATGTTTTATCTTCAGCGGAAAAAAGCCACTTATTTAGTGACTATAACTATCGTAAAGTGGCATGATGAGGAGGATGTTATGGTTGAGCTAATAAATTCGATTTTTTTTTTCAACGGGATGTAAATAAGCTGGAATAACATCAAATGTAAGTCTTAGCGGTTTTGTTTATTGAAAGACTAGTAAGGCCGGCCTATCTTTGAGTATGTTTGATGATGAAATTGAAATCTCGACTTTAATGTAGTCATCCCCTCCGAAAATTTTAAAATCTATGACCATATTCTTTTATAGTTTCCAATGCTTTGGAGTTCAAATGCTTGTTACTCTTGATTGCATGAGCTATTTTTGGACTTCCTTGGTTGTAGTAAATACTTTTTGTATCTGCTATGTTTTCCTTATTTTTCCATGTAAAAAAATTTTTTGTATACATAATTTATATGTTGATTGACTACCCACTGTTTGTTCTAAGTATGCTTAATCTTTTTGACATCAGCAATTATTTTTGAATCATTTTTTTATCTATGATGTTTTCCTTCGGGAAGTTTAGATTTTATAGAATTGTCTTTTGCTATACTCTCAGATGCATTTTTTCTTGAAGTTTTATTTCGTTTTCCTGAAACGGCAGCACCAAATTTACAGGTTTCATGTCGATAAGATGTCCTCAGCTCATGTTTACTTAAGGTTGAACAAAAGTCAAACAATTGATGATATTAGTGAAGGTTTACTGGAAGACTGTGCTCAGCTTGTCAAGGCCAATTCCATTCAAGGTAGCACTTGGGAAATGACTTATAAGTTTCTAAGATACATGTCATCTTTGGTCAACTACTTTAAAAACATTACTTGTTTGCAAATTGTGCATCAAATCTTCTCCAGGGGCCTCCATGTTTGTTGTTGGGACAAGTTTTATCATTAGAATGTGAAGTTGTTAACATTTTGTCATCCTAGTCATTTGCTGTCGAACGTGAAGACCCCTTTAATTTTTGAATTAATATTTTCGGTGTTTGCTTGTCATGGATTTGGTTCCATTTGGTTTATATTTCAAAATTAGTTTTTTGAAATATATTCTAATCCAACTCTAGAAGCATAACACAATTATATAGTCGTTGTCGATAGCTAATATCAATTACCCTATTACTAGCACTATTGACCACAATAATTCTATCTTTTAACCTTCTATCTACTACAGTCGCTATCACTTATAAACTCGTGACTTGAATTTCTCTTTTTTCTATTTAGTTTCTTGCAAATAAAATAGCCAAGGAGATATAATGTATTTATAATTCAAAATCTATAGTTCTTATGCTTTATATGACAAGATGGTTATTAAGGGAGGAATAATGAATTTATATAAAATAGCTCAGACATGATGCAATAGATTTTTAAACTTTTATTAATTTAGTTGTTTTAAATTTAACAATAATTAGTTTTTTTTTAAAGATGAAGACATCAAGTAAAATAAAAATTCTATTTGAGGTATTATTGAGTGAGAAGTTCAAGAAGTTTATTTGAAACTCTAAGGAATAGGATGTGATATATTTTAGATTGGTTTTAATAAGTGAAGTTAGATGTGTTATTAGTATTTAATTGTCAATATTAATGGAAGGTAGGGTTAATACCTATGTGAGATGGGTTTACCTTTTCTGGGTCTATTATATAGAATAATAATATAAATAATGATTTAACAATTAAAATAAGAATCTGGTCATTGAAATGTGGAAGTGCTCTCAGTAGGATTATGTAATATGAGAATAGCGAAGATTTAAAAGTAGATTTTAGAAAATTTCATTTAATGCATATGAATTTGAATGTTTGTTTAGAGAAGTTATCGATAGACAAGTTGATCTTGACTAAATTAAACTTTTAAGATTGACATGTTGCCAAATTTTGGAGGTTAGATTGTAAATTGATGATATTAGAGGGATAATGATAGTAGCATCAACTTAATATATGATACTGGAAAATAGACTTGAGTGATTTAAGCTTGTATAATAAAAATAGAAGATGCACCAAGAAGATGGGTAGACAAAATGAATGTAAAAGGATTATAAAGGAAAAAAAGATGCCATCCAAAATTTATGCAAAAAAAAAACATAAATCATGTTATTTAACATCTTTTGTAGCTCCAAGCTAATATTATAAAAGGGCGAGGTTGTGCTGTGCGAAACCCTTGGGTATAATGAAGCAGAACCCTTAAAAATTGAGGTGTCTTTTGGTATAGCTGTTGGAGTTTTATTAGAAGTTTTCAAGTTAAGCGTGCTTGTACGGGAACACCCTTGAGATGCTCTAAAGCTAACAATATCTTTACAGGTAGGAGTATGAGTTGTTACAAATAGTATCAAAGCATTATATCAAACTAAAGATGGGAACTAAGTGTCATATAAAACAAAGTGCTACACTGTGTGAACCACCTTTTGAACCCTAGTTTGGGCAGTGCTACATAGTCAGATCTACCTCTTGAATCTGTAGATGTCATTTATAGAATCCATTTAATTCTGGGTTAAAAATACTGATCATGACACTATTTACTTGAGTGAGGGAGATTGTGAAATTGTCAAGTTGAATAAAGTCGAACTCTCGAACATCAAGACATTATTTGGTGTCACGGTTAGAGTTTCATCTGAAACTTCAAAGTTAAGCGTGCTAATACAAGAGTACTCTTGGTATGGGCATCCTCTTGGTAAGTTACACCAATTTGACAGATCCATGAGGCAATTTGGCCAAAGTGGACAATATCTCAATGGGTGAGAGTTCGAGTTGCTACATGTTGGATTTTAAATTATTGATGGATTACATCAGAATCCTACTAGTACATACTGAAGAGAGGATGAAAAGAGTAATAGAGAAAAAGGAATGTTAAATAGTAAGAAGCTCTGGGAATCTCATTGGAATTTGTCAATTACAAGAGAATTTTTAATCTCGAGTTTTTCTTGTGACATTTTATTTATATGTTTGGGTTTGAGATTTGAGCGCGAAATGAATAAATTCGTGATACGGTTAGTGTAGCTCCAGTGGTAGACATGATTAGAAAGATTCATCTTAGATGGTTTGGTCACATCAAACGTCGGCCATCTAATGATCTTGTTAGGAGAGTAGATGTTTTAGATTCGACTTATGTTAAGAAAGGCATAGGTAGACTTAAAAAAACTTCGACATATTGTCTAAAAAATGACCTTAGTCTATTAAAATTAAATGAAAATATGACACAATTGGATGCAATGGAGAAAAAGGATTCATGTAGTCGACCCCACTTAGTGGGATAAAGGCTTGTTGTTGTTGTTCGAGGTTTGAGTGCTACAAGAAAAGTTATGTATTGAGTTACATGAATAAAAAAGGGTATCTAGCAAGACTTATTGGTTATTGTGAAGTATATAAGGCATGTAGTCTCACTGTATTCCCAGTTTTGTAGCCAATTTGATGGGAAGTTCTCGTATTTAGCAAACAACTCTTGAGCTCAAGCCATTTGGCTTGAGATTGCTTAGTTTGATGTGTTTTTCTTTAGCACCATTAGTCTAGTGAGTTTTCCATGAGCTTGGTGAGTTCATCTTTGATATGGCAAGTAGCTTGACCAAGTTTTTCGCTACTATAACTAGTTTGAGTGCACCCATGTCAAGTTAGGTGAGCTCCTTCTGTTGAGTCTTCCAATTGTTTGGTGCATAGGTTGAATCCCAATTAGTTGGGATAATGTTATCCTAAAAATTATGATAAAGATGTAATATTTGAGTTTTCCTGTTCTTTTTTTTGGTGACTTGAGACTATTTGAGATGCTATTAGCAGTTGTAAGGTGGAGAAAGGTTTAGTGGAGAGGAGGATTAAGCCTTTGATTAGCTGTGGCTTTTTTGTGGCATTGATGACGTACCACAAATTTCTTATGTATTTTCATCTTTAAAATATGATTTTTAATATTTACTTAATATCACAAAAAATATTAGTAATACTAATATTTTTAAAGTGATGTTTTTTCATGCATATTATTTGATGTGATTATATTATTAGCACTTGTAGAAATTATTTGGGAAGAAAAATTGCATAATTTTATTATTCACATGTCGTGTACATATATAGGACACCAATCCCTCCTAATTTGTAAACTTACTAAATATATCTAACCTAAATTAAGAAAGGAAATAATTCTGAAATAAAAGATAAAAAAACTTAAATAGTAAATGAATAAACACAAATCAAGAGGTTTCCAAATTGATTTCTGATCAAATTTCCCATAAGATTTTGATGTTTGGTAGGTCCATGCTATGAAATACTACAAGAAACTTCTCAGGGTTCCACACTTTTGCTCAAGTTGGGTTGTAGATTTTATAGAAACCAAGCTTGATATTGAACTCTGAGAAGATGCTTAAAGGAGAGCTTTGATGATGACATCAACATCTTGTTAGTGTGTCAGGTTATAGCTTAGCTATATAACTCCCCCATTAACCTTTTCAGAAATGAAGTATCTATCAACTTCAATATGCTTGATCCCGTCATAATGCATAGGATTCTTGACAATTCTAATAGTTGTTTAATTGTCATAAAACATCTATATAGGCTTATTGGAGATACATCACAGTTTCCTTAACAATTTATGAATGTAGATCCCTTCACAGATTCCCAAGGCAAGTGCCTTATATTCTTATTCTGCAGTGCGTCTAGAAACAACTGCGTTTACTTCTTATTTCTCTGTATAACCAAATTTTCCCTTACATATAAGTCGTAACCTGTGGTGGACCTTTTGTGAGTGAATTCTCTTGCCCAACTAACATCAATCTAGACTTTCACCTCTTTGTTCATGGTTTTCTAAAAAATTAATCTATAACCAGGAGTTTTCTTGAGAACCTCAGAATCCTGTATAACATTTTCAAATGCTCTTCATTTGAGTTATTCATGTGTTGACTTACAATACCAACAGAGTACGCAATATCTGTCCTAGCATGTAACATATAGATGAGTTTTTCTACCAATCTTTGGTATCTTCCCTTATCCACAGATATACTTTTTTTCTTCATTGTTAGACTTCTTGCTATATTCAATTGGAGTATCAACAGGTTTGAATCCAATCACACCTATTTCCTTTATTAGATCTAGGGTATATTTCCTCTATGATATAATAATATTTTTTTTGGATTTAGTTACCTCCATACCTAGAAAATTTATCTTATTTCCTATGTTCTTAATTTCAAACTTAGCGACACACATTTCTTTGGTTTTAAAATCTCTTTCATCATCACCACTAATAATCATGTCATCCGCATATACAATCAATGCAACAATTTTATCTTTCTGAGTGTGTTTTATGAACAATGTGTCATCAGTCTGACTAAATGGTTTCACAATCATGTTACCAATGAAGTTCACTGACTAAATAGATCTCTATATGGCTTAAAACAATGTTCACAAGTTTGGTTTGACAGGTTCACATATAAAACATATGTATTCGCTTGATGTCAAACTTATCAAATATTATTTTTAGAAGATCTATTAACGTAAAGTAACAACCTTGATATTGTATGTTGATGATATTCTTGTTATATGAGACTTCACATAAGAAATGTATAAAAACATAATGTTCTTGGCTAACAATTTTGAAATTAAAGACTTGGAGATTTTCAAATATTTTATATGGGTGGAGGTTGCTAGATCTTATCAAGATGTCAATATCGCTTAACACAAATTGATTATTGACCTCGAGGAAACAAGAATGTTGAGATGCAAACCGTCAAATATTTGTATGGGGACCAAAATGTTAATTTTGGGGTAAAAAGAGGCACTCGTTTTGTCAAGAAGGTCTATATCAAAGATAAAGAATGGTGGTAAACTTTATCTACGTTACCCATAGACTTCATAGTTTTCTCTTTGAGCATGGTCAACTAGTTCATGAATTGGCCTACAAAAGAACACATGGGTGCTATGTTTTAGCTTCTAAGATGTCTAAAAATGATTATAGAGGAGGTCTTTTTTTTTTTCAAAACTGCTAGAAGGAACACTGAAATATTCACAGATGTTGATTTAGACTGATCAACTGTTAATAGCTGGTCCATTTTACCATATTGCACATTTGTATCTGGAAACGTGATAATTTGGAGAAGTAAAAAAGTTGAACATATTTTCTCAGAAGTATAGTGCTTAACAGAATTTAGTGCATTGATGCATGTCGTTTGTGAAGGAATATGATCAAGAAGTCTTCTAAATGAATTATTTATCTGTAGGAGAACCAATAAAATTAGTGTATGAAAATCAAACTCCAATTAATATGGCCAAAAAAAAATTCACCATTGCTAGACCAAACATGTTTAGGTTGACCACTACTTGATCATGGAATAGATCGGCAATAGGATTGCTTCTATTTTCTACACTCCCAACACATCTTTCAATTGCTGATAACGAAACTAAAATCGTGATCGAATGGCCTATTTGGAACCATTTTTTTATAGTATAATGTTTGTTTGGTTTTTTTTTTAACTGTTTACATTTTTTAAAATTTTGAAGCTACTCAATAATATTTAGGAGTTCCAATTTTTTCTAACATGAACTCAGCCGTCTGCCTTGGTGTTGCCTCACCCATTATTGTTATTGGCTAGCCGCCCTCACCAGCTATCACCCTGCAATTGGCTACTGTTGTTGGCCATCATTGCCGCCTGCCACTGCCTTGACACCTGCTACCATTGTCGTGCCCACCAATTATACCAATTTGGTGATATTATATAACAACAAGCTAAGTGGGGTTAGTTACATAAATCTTTTTTCTCCACCGTGTCATATTTTCATTTAATTCTAATAAATTAATATCATTTTTTCTACAACATGGCTATGTCTTTTCTCCATTCTAATTTTGTGATATTATAAGAAACATAATTAACATATCTTTAATACAACCAACATGTTTTTATTTCATATTAAAACATAAAATAAAAAAAAAAAACAAAAACTAAAAACAAAAATATAAAATGATATCAAATGGTCCCTAGGTTTTGAAAAATAATATGAGGTGGGAATGTTAATTGTTTGCCGCCCAACTTGTAGTGGAGTGAAAAAAATAGGAATATCCGCAAGGGAATTCAGACATTAACTGCCTTAGGAATTAGGATTCAATACTGGTCAATTACTATTGCAGCATCTAGGGTATTCTCGTTTTAGAATTCATTATAAGTTATCTATTTTTATGATATAGGAGTATTATTTTGTTTAATTTTTTAGTGCAGGTGTCTTTTTTTAAAAAATAATTTCTTTGAGCTTCTTTTGTACCACTTTCTTCACTGTCTTGTGAATGAGACAGATTACTTTTGTGCTCTGCTTTTCTTAAGCCATAGTTTTGGTTTATTTATGTAATTCTAATCATATAACTACTCATGAAACTTCATTAATTTTCCTTTTCTTTTTCTTTCTTTTCTCAGCGGCAGATCAGTGTATATATATATATATACA